GACTAAAGGAATCTGTAAGAACCAGAAATAATTGGAAAATTCATGCATGTTCGCTTTAAATTTCTGCCTAGACAGCTGCCAATCGCGTTCTGAGGGATATAAAGAATGAACTTTACCAGACGTTTTAGATTTGGCTACATAAAGCAAGAGTTCAGGAAATATTCATGGGACTGAGTGACTTCAGCACTCAGATATAGAAGTTTAAACCAATCAGGAAACTATTTTTATGCTTATGTTTGAATTTACTGATGGCTAGGAACAAGCGACTGTCAGAATAAAATTGTAAAGGATAAACATTTTTATCAGTTCGCTAACTCGAAATACTATACGACTACGAGCAAGAATTTACTTTTGAAACGTTGTCCAGTAAATATTACTGTATCACTGTGTACCATATTAAATAAAATTATCCAGTACGGAATTACACTCAACCACCACATTCACATTCGTCCCTTATACTACTGACTAGTCATTTCCAAGGGAAATTAGCCTACTGGAATAATGAAACTATATCAGTTGAAGAATGTTGAAAAGCCAGTAAGTGCTAGATAACCTTTTAGGATATTTTTCGTTATGTCAACCTCCATTCTTCTTGGGGCTTGAACTGTTAATTCATTAGTTGATATTTGTAAACAACAGTTGGCCATTCAGTCTCTAAAAGTTACTCCAGCGACTGTTGAGATAGCTAATTAAATTTCTTTATTCTGTGAAAAATTGTCACTTTCGCAGAAACATCCAAACCTGACTGACTATATCAGTAGTATCTCTGAAAATGTAGATGATATCAAAATGGTCAAAAAGATATCCTGCTGGTTGGCATTACACACATAACCTATGGACTGAATATTCACCATCGATCTGAAAGAAAACAATGCCTGTTGAACGAAATTTTGTGGTTATTGGTCATGTAAAATAACTATATAAAAAGAGGTTCCTAGTTAGATTTTGCCTTTTCTTGAGTAAAACCAGGTCACTGAAGAGCAACCAATTTCATGCTGTCTGCTCCTCAGTACTGACCGAATCCCGCGGATCATTTTGCAATATGACCATCAAGCTAGGAGGCTCAACATGATAGGGCACTTGAATGGTTGTTACTTTGTTGAAGGTGATCGGTAGAAAACCCTGCTCAGCCTAAGTTTTGGGCTTGTTGAGACTCGTCAACTAGGTGTTTCTCAAACCTCCAGGGATCTGATATTCCCTAAGTACTGGCTTTGTGACCACATTCTAAAGTGATCGGATGAATTCCGTTAGCATTCAGGACTAGACAACATGAAGTCGGTTGCCCACCAGCGAAGAATTAATACATCTAATCCACGCTAGATGACACAATCTTAAATCTCAGAGGGGACATCAGTTCCACAGAGGTTGCAGATACACCTTGCTGACGAGTGCCGACAAGCGCAAAACTTAAGTTGAGCAGGGTTTCTTGCCAACCGCCCCCAACCAACTAACAGATTCAATGATCTATATTTCACTCCATCTAATTACAATAACTAATTACTTGAATACTCATGTTCTAATAGATATCTAGACTTTTGTTTACCTCACCCTACATCAAGAAAAGTATATTTCAGTTGGAGGTTTATGGGGACTTATTAATTTGAAGTTGGTATTCATCGTGGACTGACATCAGTCAAAGAAACATTGGAAACCTTGGAGCACTGACCAGCTGTTTTGTCGTAGTATATGACTGCTCAGTAGTGCGCAGCCATGACCTCCCTTTGCTGAAGAGTTCCACACTAGGACGAAACAGCCGTTGTCCAGTGCTTCCAGGTTTCCAATGTTCCTACAACTGATGTCGCTCCACGATGAATACTAACTTGAAAAGTATGTTTGGTTAATTGTTTAGGTAGTCAAGGAAGGAGTTCAATCAGTAGGCCAGAAAAGTTTAATAACTATCCCTCTAAATCTGTTGAGAAATTCAAAGGGACACACTATAAAAGAGAAAGTAATGATGCGAGTTATGATTCCAACACGCTTAAGAAGAAATTTCTTGACATCTTTAGTGTTGTCGTATGAGGAAGGGACATGAGAAACCCTACATAGGATTCTCAATGCGGCATTCAAACCTACAAATTCACTCAGAGGGAAATTTTGTCAGCTTGAGGATTCCATTGAATAAATTAGACAAAATAAGTAATTTTATGCACTAAATATCATGCAGTGACTATGAGGTTAAGTACAAAGGCAAGCCAGCTGATAGGCATTAATCAAGTTAGAAGAACATAATGAACCTAGTTAAATCAAAATTCAAAAATCCCATTAAGATGAACAGCCTAGAGAGGAACTTAACCATAGCTACGCATACGATAGCACGTAACCTCACAATAGGATAGAACAGAATAACAGTCTTAAAGACTAAGGTAGTTGAGTGAAGGCAGAAGTTGACCACTCAGTCTCTGTTTATCATCTCAATAAGATTATGAGCAATGAAGTGCACTCAAAATATCATCAAGTAAATGCTACTACTTCCCTACGGGCTATAATATATACACTGATCTGATAGGAAAGTCTCATGGTAAAGAAATAGTACAAATGCATGGATCTCGCCCTCATCGGTATTTGAGCTACTGTCCAGATACCCCTATATTGTCTGTAGTTTCAGTTTGGTGTTAACGATGGATAGTAGCTAGCAGCGGAATCCAGGATTGACGTTTCATCCTCCTCCGGACTCGTCAGTTAAATATATATGTCTTCCAGCGAAAGACTTTGTTCCTAAGAGGAATCTAACTCAGGAGGAATCGCTTGAAACGCCCAAGTGTTATCCACTAGATCACCGACTCAAGATAACCATTTCCCTTGTGATGGGAGTAGTTTTTATTTTATTGATTATAATTTCAACTGATGTACCCAAAATTGGACGAAACGCGTATTCTAAATTTCACTGCCAGCTAATAATCATAATTACTTTTGAAACGATCACTTGTTGATTTCAATAAATTACATTAGTTCTAATCCGCTTAAACTAAGCTTTACTGTTAAATATTTCATTCTTAACAAGAGTACAATGAAGAGTATATCAGTGTATAGAAAATCAATCAATCAATCAACTGGTTATGTTTAATCCCATCGTACAAAATAGTATACAACTGGAACATGATGGATAAGTTAAGTTGATGGAATATTTAATATTTGTAGGCAAAAAAAAGAAAATCTTATCACTACTGATAGTGTTTATCATGTACACTGGTTTCAGCATAGAACCCTTGTAGAAAGCATTTTGACACCGTCAACTGATGCTTTCTGACATTGTCAGTGGATAGAATATACATTTTTGTGCATTGAAAACATCGTTAAAATTGTTTGTACAGAAGCATGTACACAAGAAAACACCAAATAAGAACTACTTTTACTTAAGTAAAAAATATATTTATTTCAAAATATTCGATTGATTGAAGAAATTTTCAAAAATTAGTTGGTTGGAAGCAATCACCAAGATGTCCTGCTTAAACTGCCTTTTCTGCTTCCTCCTACTCTTCTATAAGGCTTGTCTTCAACTTCTACGCAATTGATTTCCTCCCCTGAGAGCCAAACCAGTGTAGCTCGTGTCATGTTCACAACTGCAACACCGGGTGAGACTGGTTTCAATCTCAGAAAGGATATTCTCTCCTTCGAGGTTACAAACACGCCTTGCTGATGAGTGCCAACAAGCACGAAACCTAGGTCCAGGGGATCCTGCCGACTGACTCTAACCAACTAACGTCTACTAATGTGCACCGCGAAGCTGAGTCACCCAGCTTGGTGGCCACATTACAAATATGATCGATAGGACTCGGTCTGCACTCAGGACTAGACATGAAATTGGTTGCTGTCCTGTGATCAATCAATGCATGTAACCCAGTCCTACAGGATGTCAGTCGCGGCCCAAATAGGTCAGTGGTAAAGTCGCTGACAACATTGGGCGACACGGGTTCGAGCCTCAGGTGGGGATATAAGTTCCGTCGGTGTTTCAGATACCCCTTGCTGACGAATGCCAACAAGCACGAAACCTTGGTACAAAGCTTCCCGCCGGTTGCCTCCAACCAATTAATACCTGAAGTCATTTACTCTATTTAATGTTCAATATTGGAAAAAGAGACAATTATCATTTGACTGAGATGAAGGCTGCTTAAAATCCGGTCTGGTAATTTGAGTATGAAATTTTCAAATTCTGATTGGTTGCCATTCGGTCATATGTACATCATCTAAAGTTCATTGATTAATATGCTTTTAAAAATTTTAGATATTGTTACTTCCGACGTTAAATTCGTTGGTGAATCAAGTTACCATTTTGCTAAACTTATTGTTCAGACAGCAGTTCTCATTCGTTGTAATTCTATCAATATTTTAGACTGAGAGATTATTTGGAGACAAATCAATTTATATCGAGGTTTCTGTCTGGAACAAATCAGTTAAAGCCTTCACTGATGTCTGCTTACAGGTATCGGTATCAAGATGACTGTACTGTTCATCAGTCAGAATTACGGCAATCTGATCCTTCTCAAAAAAACATGCACTGCATACATTGATTGGTCACTGAAGAGAAACTATGTTGTCCGCAGTGCTGGTCAAAATCTATCCATCAGTTTGCAATGTGGCCACCAAGTTAGGAGGGTCAGCTTCACTTGGTTGGAGGCGATCGGCTTGAAGTCGTGCTTGATCTAGGTTTCGTGTTTGTTGGCACTCGTTAGGAAGGCGTACCTGAAACCTTGATGGACATGACGTCACCTCTAAGACTCAAACTCACGTCAAAAATAAGGATGAAAATTAGTCCCAGTATTTTCTGCTGATCGCCTCCAATCAAGTGACAAACTTGATGTTTCTAGTCTGTCTAGCTGTAAATCCTATCGAGTCTATGGGATCAGAATGAACTCTTCAGCCATTTGACCACCTGATGTAATGCGAGAACAGAGGATGCTGCCAGACTTCAAAATGAATATTCTTTGTCTTCAGTTCAATCTTCTCCTATCATGAAACTGAAATAGCTTCAACTACATTCTTTAATGTTTTAATCGTTTGAATCATTTTCCTACCAAAAGTAAAGTCAAATGATAAGTTAAAACAAAGTAAAATGACTGGATCTTACGATATTTGTAGTTATGTTTCTTAGCTTCTATTCTGTTAAGAACAGTAGCTACAGTAGTAATTCCAGCGAAATTCGTACAGTTGATGAACGTGTTACTTCCGATTGTTGTATTTGATTTGAACAATAAATTCCGTGTACCATTATTATCGGAACATTTTGAACAGTTTGATCGATTAATAATTGACTGTGATGTAACACAGACGGAATCAATAAATAATGTATTACAACACATCAAATGAATCAACAAGCATTTATCCATTCCATATAGATTAAGTTATAACACATGAGTATTTCATACATAATCGAGGTTTTATATTTGTGTACGCTGAATGTCTTTCTTCTTAAATATTGACCATAATGCGTATAGTATATCCAATTAAATTCATGTGGACATTATAACGAATATTAGAAAATCAATATTTTATTAACTTGCTGAGTGTAATTCAACTCCCTTACGCCCACATTTTCCCATAGTATAAATATTCAAACTGTTTATAAATGACTCATATTCTGTTTAGCGGTAAGGCATACTTTGTTGTCGTCTTCCCTATGCATATAATCACGGTCTGGCTTTTAATAAGAACACTAAAAATCAATATCTCTTTTCATTGTTTTTGTATTTTAGAATGATGGATAGTAAAGTAGGTGAAGCTGAAAGTCTGTGATAAACATATTCTAGTTTAATGTGCGCATTTCACTTATCAATCTTGATTATATGTAGATGAAAAACAACAACACTGAAAGTTGACTCATTTCTTCGTATGTACCTGTAGTTGTAGCACAGACGATCGGATAAATGTAGTAATACCTAAACAATTTCACCTGATGGTGATTAGCTGAGAACACCTGGATATGAGAGTAGTGATGATGGGAGAAGTTGCGAACCAGTGAATCAGCCTTTTACGCTAGCTAACATGATAATTACTTTCGTACACATTACAGAAAATGACACCAGAGATAAATTCTAGAGAAAACACACAAGATATAAGCTTTGTGCTCTACTGATAGAATAAGCTACTTGTCTCATAGTATGCAACGACACTGTCCCGCCATCTTTTCTCTGTTGAATATTAATGTCTGAAAATTTTAAAAGCATACCATTTCATGAAATTCAGACGATGTTCATATGATAGATGAATAATTACCCAATAAATTTATTGCCCATACGTCAAACTTGACAGAATGGCAGCCAATCAGAATTCGAGAATTTCATACTCAAATTACCAGACCGGATTTTAAGCGGCCTTCATCTCAGTCAAATGATAATTGTCTCTTTTTCCAATATTGAACACTGAAAAGAGTAAACGATTTTAGGTGCCGATTATTTTGATGTGCTGTCTACACACATTCTGATCACCATAAAAACTTAACGTTTGAGCAAGTTGGTTATCACGTGTTTGAAACTACAGTGAATGGCCACAGCTGTCTGATGTTGAGTGCTGGTCGAATGGTATCGATCATTTTGCAATGTGACGGTTGGTAGGGTGCCTTGCTTGTATCTGCAACCTTGAAGTAGATGATGTCCGCTATTAGATCCAAGCCAGTGTCAGCTGCGTTATGTCTGCGTTATATTTTCCTACGCCAGCGGGTATATATATATATATATACATATATATATATATATATATATATATATATATATATATATATATATGTATATATATATATATATATATATATGTACACATGACAAATGACCTTGTCTCCAGTTTGAGACATTTGCATACTTAGAGTAAAGATTAAGCAATCAGCGATTTACATTACAATGGGGCAGAAAATAGACCCACTGTCAAACCTTAAAAAATGGTATGGGAATGACACATTAAAATGTTCAGATCGATAACAGTGTTTGATACAAAAACTGAGGCATCACGACAGTCTGTGACTACAGCACTGGGCGACTCTGGTTTGGATCTCAGTGGAGACGTCAGTTGTGAGGAGATTGAAGACACACCTTGCTGAAGAGTGGAACCAAGCAGAAAAGGTGGTTTGAACAGGACATCTTAGTGACTGCTTCTGACCAACTATTATATGGAAACCTCTGTAATCAATGGGATACTGAGAAATATATGTAGGTGAAGTCCTAATGCTTGGTGGCTAGGGTTCGACAACCAAGTGGTGTTTTCATACGGATGACCAGCAGTCCATGGAGATATTGTCTTCCCTACAGGCCTCAGATGGGCTCCGTGGTCACACAGAACTATTTAATTTTATCTTTCAAGTATCTTCAAGTAAAGACTTCGATGGTTTGGGCGGGTAGGAATTACTAACAGCTTTAAAGCTCTCAGTGCCACACATAACCCGACTAATCATAAACTACTTTTCTTGCCTTCACTTCTGGATACCTTACGTCAAGTTCGTTAAAGTTCCCTCAACCTTCCACTGAGGAACCCATTTCTAACGATCTGAGCCATACCGACAATTTTATATTGGAGCTTTCAGTGTCCGTACCCTATGCAAAACCGGATGACAGGCCTCACTTACGAAAACTCCGGGCTCTGGAGCCATGGATACGTGCTATGCTCCTAGGGCTTGCATAAGGGATCCAAGTGTGGCTGTTTACTTAGCCTCAGTGTGAGGAACCTGAAAAATTCACCTTGCGAGTGTCCGAAGATTCGGTGGCTGGTCTATATGGACTCACTGGTACAGGTAACTCAAAGAGTTTTAAGGTAGAAAGCACATTTTTGAGTGGATGCCAGCCGATCGCCATCTACTTACTATATGACTGAATGGATCTGTAATAAATAGAAGAAAATGCAACATTTGTCGATATGCTGCCATCGACTGTAGTTCTGATGATACAAATGATGAATTCTACTCAAAGGTTGTTTGTTTGGCTACTTAAGCCAAAACGCTCAGATACCGACATAGTAGCCTGTGACTTCAGGACTTAAGTAGATAAACTAGGCCAAAAGAAAAGGCATCCTAAGGATACTTGCGATATCCCATCCAGAAGAACTGACAACGATGGTCGTCTCTTACAATGCTGTTCTGACAAACACTTTTCTGATCAGCAATGACTTCACGTATAAAAAGAGATACTGTCTCATTTGTCGTCAGCTGATGTAAAGCCAATGTTAGACAAAGATAGATCAGGCTACCGTAGACCATAGTTAGAGAGGATCAGTGAAAGATAACCACTCTTTCAGGAGGGTCTGCTTGAAGTCCGATCTTGCAATAGTACGGGTGCGTGTATTTTTTCACTTTAATGGCCTCCAGAAACAAACGGCAATTCAGCCTCTGTGTGCCTGACTGGGGGATGAGAACATATGCGGAAGTGCGTATATGAACATACCAGTACTCCTCTTCTTGATGAATCCTCGCGTATTATTTAGTTTGTTGTAGAAACAGTGGTAATGATGGTTGGTAACCTACAGTCAAAGGTTAACAAAAGTCAATGAATTTCATCGTCGTCATCTGAACTGACTGATATGAAAAGGTTGATTTCACCTGGCTCTAACAACAATGAGGAACGAAATCAACTTTAATGTAAACTGACGGAAGTCTAACCAGTGACGGCGAGTAGTGGTGGCATGCGAGGGCGAAAGAGGTGGATAAGGCGTCAGGCGATACCCGACAATCATTCAGGCCCATTAACGATATTCATAGTGAAAAGATGATGGCTAGTGGTACAATGCCGAAAAGGATGAGTTCGTTTTGGCATATGTGGACAGGCGGCTAGAACAGTGGGCGGAAAGCCGAAAAATAGATCAACTGGTCTACAGCCAAGCCTCAGTTACCTAGCATTCAGCTGAATGTGAGGTGGATGTTGGTCCTCCAAGGCTGTTTCAAACCTGGAAATATACAAATCAGCGTGACCTGTCAGTTTGTCACCAAGCGCTTATTAGGGATGGAGATGGGAAACTTTTCAGTAGAGTAGCTGAGATACCAGAGATACTTCTGCCAGTGTGGTTTAAGTCATTATCTCAGTCTACGATACGTAATGGGGTTTTTTGTGCCACAACCACAGTGGAATCGGTTTGACTAACATTGTTTCCAGGTTCCTAGGAGCCACAGTTATAAGATGCATAGTAGGAACTGGAAAAAGAAAGGCTAGTTTGAGTTCTTCCATCAGATTTAACCCCTTCGTCTACGGGCTTTTGGGAAATTTTCACTTGAACAGACGAAAATCAGTGGTATCTGCTAGGGATGCCCGCTGCCACGGTTCCTGTTCAACTTCATTATAGCTGCCTTATTTGACATGAGCTAAAGTACATCTGATTTTGCAGGGATAGGTCTATTCCATTGAAGGGACTCCGTTGACTTGGAGTAGACAGATTACATTGTTTTGCTGAGGGAAGAAAGTTAGAAAGTTTAGGTCTTTTGAAAGTCCCGAGCAAAAAAGTAAGCTTATCTGTCATACGTTTCACACCTGTACAATGTAGGGCGATGCTTCAGGACTGGTCTGTGACTGATCCTAGTTTAGAGATAAGGAGTGAAATGTTGAAATGTATCGACCACTTCGTTTGCTTGGAGAGTTGTATCTGCTCGAACAAGTCAGCTGCTGACAGAATCGCGGCTCGAATACAGAAGGTTCGTTTGGTATTTTTCTGCTGGTGAGATATCCTACTATCTATTTAAGGATGAATATACTTCGCTGAAGTCCATTCTGTTCTGTTATACGGTTGCAAAAAATGGTCGTTGAAAGTAGAAGATGTGAACAAACTGTAGGTTTTGCAACCCAAGTGTTTTCTGGTATGAGCAATGTCAAGGTTTGCAAAGTTAACTGAAGGTAGTTGTTTCATGGGAAACTCGTGTAGAGTCAGTGACTGAATATTCTGTTGGTACTCTGAATATCACTAGAATATGAATAATTAGATCCATAAATTCGGGAGAAGGATTAGCTCAGGGGGCTGAGTCAGACAGATAGAGATCAGATATGTGTGGGTGTTTGGTTTTTTTGCCACTTCGTGTGCTTCAGTGTTCTTTGTTATTAAGTAACTGGACTGTGGCCGGGGGATATCGTGGGGGGTTCCATCTACTGGTGTCGTATTGCTAGAAAAGTGCGTAGATTTTCTGTGATTTCCATCAAGCGGGTGCGCTTCTTTTTTCGACACACTGTGGCAGACTCGGAACTGATGCAATTCGAAGTGAAGAAATTCAACCAGTAATATGATTGAGTCATTGAAACTTGAAAGTAACCATTTCCCACTACACAACAACACTGATGGTCTCACAGAGCATAATCTGTTCACAGCTCTCCTTTTGTTCGCCGCATTTCCCGCATTGTTAGACAATTGTGAAAATTCATGTGTTTCTATCACAGCGCAACTCAAAATTGTTGTTCACAGCCTTTGTATCAAATAAATGAGACATTTGCATTCATTCTATCTAGTGACCAGTATTCTCCTGAACAACTTCAAGTTATAAACAGACCTTAGAAGCAACTGAAGACCATTGGTTCTATGATGTTTAGTGCACTGTTGGACAGTTATGAAATATATACTGAATGGACGCATAAAGGTAGTTACAATTTAATAAAATTGATTGTCATATCAAACAGTTCAACGCCGAAAATTCGACTAGTGTGTTTCACTCCGCAGTCCAACGGCGAGTGTTGGCGATTTGAGTATCCTTATGAGCTAAAATAGATATTGGTATTAGTTTCGTTTTGATCGTTCTGATAAAAAGGGATTGAAAATACATGAGATCATGTATTGCCAAACGTATCATTATCCCAACATCAAATAAAGGAAGTGTATATTGTTTCATCAGTTAAACGTGGATTTAGAAGTAACAACATCATACTTGATCAAAAGTACATGCATCTGATTACTTCCACATAGGATGAAATGTGTGTCATCAGTTTTGCTGTTCGACATTATCTACAACCATCTAGACGTGAAGTAACTCAGATATCTGCCGCATACATACGCGATGATCTGGGTAAATGGGATAAAATTTTACTTCTTATCTTCAGGGATAGTAGGTCTATGTTCTTGGAATTGAACCTCATGAAGGTGTTGGGTTCGTTCCTTGACGGGATAGGACGAAGTCTTCGGTTCACACTGATGAGGAGTCCTACACTAGGACGAAACGGCTATCCAGTGCTTCCCAGTTTCCAATGTTCCTTCAACTGATGTCAGTCCGTGTTGAATACCAACTTGAAATCGCTAAATGCCCACAACTCCCCTCCTCCTTAAATTAAATTATGTCGATGAATCCTTCAACATTTTGTGTAAAGTCAGACGAAGCCATTTGAAA